GCGGCTTAATTGTAAAAAAAAAAAAAGACTAACAGAACCAAACAATACTCTCACTGGCAAAAAATTACCGAATCTGAGGCAACAAAAACCTTTTTAACAAACAATTACCCTAAACTGACAATTATAAACAATGATATCTTTTTTCTATTGGATGATATATACAGCAAAAAACCTATACCTTCGATGTTTTTATTCATGACAACTGACAGTCACAGTTTTGATAAATAAAAACAGCAAGAGTGCAGTTGATAGCCGGAAATTAGAATGCAGTGAGGTGAAAAAAAAACAAATAGAAAATAACTTTCAGTTTCGTAAACTATTTGACTGACAAAAAATTTTCAAATTCAAAGTACAATCAGTAATAACAGGTAAAAAGATAAAAGTTTCACTTGTCCCACCAAAAACAAAGCTGACGCAACTGATTATTTGCACTATGTCGATATATCTAATATGGATAAATCATGCAGAATATTTGTTCTCTTCCTCTCCATCAAAAAAAAAAAAAAAAAACACCGGTATTAATCTAACGTTATCAACAAGCTTCGACGGTTCATCATCTGTGCGATAATGGGAAACTAAACCGGTTAAATGTGGAACAGCAAAAAGCACAACAGAAAAAAGCCAGAGAGCCGCGTTAGGGATTGTTCTAAGTCCGATCTAATTGCCTTCCGGTTAAGCATCATCGGTTATTTCAGTTTTGCCACAAGCAATGAAAAAACTTATTTTGGCAAAAGTCCAGCGCCAGATAATACGCTTATGCTGCAACAGCAACAACTACAGCGCCGCTATTACAGTGGAACCAAGTGCAGGACGCTCGACTTCAGGACTGGTCACTCTATTGTTTTATACTTCGTTTACCTGTTGCTCTAATTCTGTAACTGAAAAATCTGTTTTTTTTCAATGAACAGATGTATATTGTAGCAGTAAAATTTTTCATATATCCTTTCTAAAATGCAGCAGTTTTCTAACATACTCAGCTTGAAGCAGGAGTTACTTGGTTAGTAAAATCAGAATAAAAAAAGGGTATGAATCAGTTCAAAATGATTATTATTGGCTGAATTACCATTATACTTCAACAGACAGTTCTAATTATGCAGTTTTCTAGCAGTTATCTTTTTTCATCTAAATATTAATTTTTGTTTTCATTATTCTGAGCACTCTTTTACCAACAGGGCCTGTACTTGTCGAACGTGTTTGTAAATACAGTTGAGTAAAGACGAAGAATTTTCTGGAAACCAAACAGAAAAATCTTTTTACAGTCTAGATATATAATTTTTACTCCGATCACACTGGTTTTCTGGCATAATCTGGTTTACTCACGTTACACCAGTTATCCGCAAGAAATACGACTGTTTTTTACTGCAGCAAAATGTTCTTTACTTGGGTGCCAGCAGTTTGAAGAAGTGCAGTGGATAGTTCAAGCCGGATCGTGTTTATAGAACTCGTAAAGGGGTTTTTGCTTTTTGTAGATATTTGTATAATGTATTTCAAAATGTTTCTTACAAATTACTCATCAATTTCTTTTAGTATTCGTATAACTGGTCCCACTAAATTACAATTTAAGTACTGGAAGGCATGAATTATAAGCACCTGTGTTAAAATCTAAACTAAATTTTATGCACAAATTTTCACTTCTGTAACAGAGAAACAAAGTACGATTTATAAGTAGAAGTTTTTTTAGATTTGGAGAGGTAAAATAGCTTTAAGAGAGAGGGTGACAGGGGAATAAGTATTCTTGAATGGAATTTGGTAATGTATGAGAATAAACGAAGGTATTGCCAACCGTTTTTCCTGTTATGGAATTTTTCAAAAAGATATTTTATGTTTAAACATATGTGATATCCATAATATTATTCCCCACCCTGCGAATGATACATACTGCGGCATCGTAGCAATGTTGAAGAGTTGGGTCGTTGTAAGTGCCAAAAAGATAAGGTTTGTGACAAATTGCTACTGCCGTTATAGAGCTAGTGATGACTCATTAGATGACCAAGATTTTTGTCAGTCTTTCTCTACCGTTTCCTTACTTTTGACATCGTATTACATTTGGTTTTTCTGTATAATAAACATCAAAGCCTGTTGACTATAGATGTTTTACCTTCAGTGGAAAGATTTCTTTTCTACTGTTTGATTTATACTGCTGAAAGCTGATTTAGGTTCTTAATTTATCTTTAGACTTCTAGTTCTTGTTAAGTGGCTTGGAACCCATCTTTTTTATTATTTGCTGTTTACTTGATGTCGTTTGTTATCTTATTTACTTTTCGGGCTACCGATAGGTTACATTACTGCAAAAGGTTTATTTTCTGCACTTTTCACCTTTTGTTACTAACTTTTCAGTCTAACCTTTTGCTGATGTTATTTTAATCGCTTTAGAAGATACTTAGAATTTTATCTTTACAGTTATTGACCGAATAGGTATCAGCAGCCAGAAGTAAACGTGTAGATTCTTTGAGGGATTTTTCAGTAGAAGCGAAAATATGGATTCATGATGTTGACCGTTATAGAAGAGTTCTCTTGATGTTATTTCATTTCATCTCTTGAGTGTCCTGGGAACTTTGAAAAATTGAAGAGAAAAGTTCCTTTATTTAGTGACGGAATGTTGAAACAGTTATTGTTGCCATGGGTTTCTTTCCTGCCGATCGTGCTATTTATAGGATTTTTTGTAGTTTTTTGTACAAATATTCTTCTTTTCTGTATTCTAATTATTCTATTCTTGCATTTTTGCTTTTTTTTTACTTTTGTATTTTTTGTCCGCCTTCATTATTACCTCAATTCTGTGTAAAATTTTGGTGTGTTCTATTGGTTTTTCCATTATTTTTGCAACAATGTTTTTCCTACTAGTGGAGTCTTTTTTAGATGTCTTCTTCAACATTCCTCTCGGTCCCTTTGAAAAATACCGTTGAAGTGGACTTGGTGAAACCACTGACATCCTATATTGAGAACATTTATCAAGGAGCAAAGGGCGACAACGTTGAAGTGAAAGAAGCTGTTAATGAACTAAATAAGTTGAGAAATAGAACTTGTTTGCAGCCGCTGGATAAACACCAAACCGCCTTGGACTTACTGACACGGTAATTTCATTTTCTGTCTTAAAAAATGTTACTTTTTTCAGCTGAGAATTGCTTTCTTACCATATGCCT